GTGTCTGAATTAAACCCATCCTAGTATTAGTATTAGTAAACTGGATGGTGTGACACATCTACTGTAGTATGATTTGTTTTCTTCGGAGTTCTTTCAGACTCTGGATCTCATTTTGCCCAAAATGTCATGACCGCCTGCAAAAGTTTACCAAAGTGGAACTTTACATGAGCCCTGCATGGATTAGCTTCACTTACAGAAGTGAATCCTCTGTTTGGAGCAATTCCATTGAAATGGGGAAAAAAAGAAAAGAAAAAGTCACTGTTTGGTTTCTTGGACAGTGTTATAGTTCTTTCCAAAATTGAGAGGTCATTTTGGGTAAAAGAGTGGGATCACAGTCACTGCAACACTCTTGAGCTTGTCAAAAACATATTGCGAAACACCAGGAAATTCATCAATGTCAGCAACTGTAGGTCTATTACAGATGTCTACGTGTGTGTGTGTGTGCCTCTACATATTGCTTGTTGAACTAAAATAGATATAAGAGTCATCTCCCTCCTGCCACCCGGCCTGTGTTGTTGGGTCCTGCTCTCTGAAATAATTGATTCAAATTATTTTCCACTAGAGTGCACCCATCTGCTGGCTTTGGGGGACGGTGAAATCCTCTATCAGTTACAATTATCCCACAGTAACTGAGGATTGAGCTGCAAGTGTGTGTGACCTGGCTGCTGAGTGGTGCAGGGGGCATGTGCGAATATCAGTGTGTGTGTGTGTGTGTGTGTGTGTGTGTGTGTGTGTGTGTACACGTGTCAAGCTAGTGATAAAGAGAGATGCTATAAGTGGAGTGCTGCGTAAGCGTGACTTGAATCCCTGCATCCCTTCTTCAAGGGACGGCAAATCCATGACAAATCAACCCGAGGGAATAAACGCCCAGTCAGTGAGTCTGAGAGTGAGCACGTGTGTATTACATTTAGAGCTTTGTGTAATACGTCACATACTGTAAGTGTGTGTTTTTCTGTCTCACGTACCCAAGCTCAAACTAAAGTCCAGAAAATGTACCATAATCCTATTCTGGGGAGGTGGACTGCACCAAGTCACCACTGGGGGACAGCACTAAATCTGGCAATAGAGAAAGTGGATGGCTACTGCCAAGAAAACAAACCATCCTAGACAACCTTCATTTTGTCTCCTTTGAAAACTGAAAATGTCAAGTTGTCCGAAAGTAATATTTGTGATGGAAAACAGGCCGGCTTTCAGTGTTCGCACAGGAACACATCCCTGAGGACTCCTGAGGCCCTGAAGCCTTGTAGATCTGTGGGATGATAGAAAGCTCACACACACACACACACACACACACACACACACACACACACACACACACACACACACACACACACACACACACACACACACAACCACTGTTTGTTGGTGCTGTGGTTCAGTGTGTGTAGTCCTGAGTGACAGTAGCTGTGGGATTTTGGTCTTCCAGCTGAAAGTGACAGTGTCAGGGCAGCAAGGAAATCTTCGGAAAGCAGGGGACTCTGACAAGACCCTCCTCTCTGGAGACAAACAAACTCCCACTCTATACTTCCCCATCTCCCCTTTCACCCAACATTCCCAATCCTCTATTTATGACCACTATTGTGCATCTCTTTCCTCCTCACACTGTTTGATTTCCCGTTGTCCTCTGTGAGAGTTTATGTAACATATGTGTTTTATTCATGTCTGCATGAGCGTTCGCTGTGTAAAGCTGTGATGGAGGCTCTGAGATCTGCACTGGTTGCAGCAGCAGAGGAGATAAAGTGGGGCCGTGTTTCCCGGCAGTGTTGCAGATTTATCTCTCTGCTTACGGCTCTGATTTTACTGCCCATCCACAAGCCTCCACTGGATCCCATATCTCTCTCCCCCTCTCTCTTTCTCTCTATCTCTCTCTTGCCATAAGGGACCAGCTTCTCTCTGTGCACGCTCTGGCTGCCATAAATCTGCCACGATGCTCCATAAAGCTGCTTAGGGCATGACTCAACAAATATTAAGGAAGAGGAGAATAAATAAATAAAGCAAAATAGAAACTCACGTCTGTGGAAGAGACAACTTTTCTGCACACAAAATGGAGCCCGGCTGTAAAATATTTACCTTGGTGTCTCTGTGCTTTAGACACTCTTCAGGGAGTGCGGAGGCTAACTGCACAATATCACATGTACTCTTTCCTATTGCTTATGATTATCCTATGGCCATAGTAGCGCTAAGCCATGTTCTACCATAACATTAGAAGGGTATCTAATCTTTCTTTTTTAATTTCATTTTTAATTTCATTTTTAATTTAAATTTATTTATTTTTTTTTAATAAGGAGCCTTTACAAGTATTCAAGACAAATAACAAAATATACATGGAGACAAAAAAAGAAAAGAAAAACAGTGTGTGTGTGTGTGTGTGTGTGTGTGTGTGTGTGTGTGTGTGTGTGTGTGTGTGTGTGTGTGTGTGTGTGTGTGTGTGCGTCTGGGGGATTGGACAAAAAGAGAGTAATAAATGACGAAATTATAATTAAAATAAAATGAGTAACAATATAATAGTCATATATCATAGGAAGGTGGGGCATATAAATAGTAGCATGACCTTAAAGAAGTAGAAAGGGGTGGTGGGTGAAACCGGACTGAGGATTATTAATGACATTTTTCAATAAATGGGTTCCAGATTGCATCAATATCTTTGGTTTGTTTTTTTATGCCGGCAAATCATTTTTCCATTGAAATGTTTTCTATAAGCAGGTTTTTCCAAATTGTGATATTGCTTTTGTGTCGTGATTTCCAATTCATGAGGATAGTTTTTTTTTGCAATGATTAGGGCTATGGACAGAATTCTACTTGATGTAATGTTGAAGTTCACATTGGAAATGTCTCCTAGTAAACAAAGGGATGGAAGAAGAGGGATGTGGCAGTCCAGCCAAAGAGAGAGGTTGTCAGTGATGTTATGCCAGAGTGAGCAATGAGGACAGATGTCAGAATCTACAAAACACATTTTAAGAAGGGTATACTTTTCTTTAGTTTTCTAAAGTCTTCTTTGTCACTTTTAAAAAAAAATCTCATATTTTCAGTGACCCAAAATTACTGAGTAAATGTACTCAAGTCATTAAGTACACTTTTGAGCTACATGTATTTTACTTGAGTGTTTCCATTTGCTGCTACTTTATACTTCTATTTGACTAATCTTAGCAGCGAATATAGTACTTTTTACAGCTCTACATTATTTGACAACATTAGTTACTAGTTCCTTTTGCAGGTTTATATTATTAATACAGCAATTAAATCAACTAATACATTACGATTAATTATTACAGATGGAGATACCTGGCCATATACAAAGTTATGAATGTTATTTCATACTTTTACAGCTGCAAAATTAAAATGCTACACACAATAATGCATCCCTAATACTTTTGTACTTTTACTTAAATGTGGGGTAGGTAATTTTGGAGAAACCAGCTCGAGTGCGCTAGAATTTGAAAATACACAGCCGGAAAAAATCTGCCACTTCCTTACAGAGCCCCTCCTCCAACACACAGGAACGCGCACATGACCAATGAGGGCACGAGATAAGTGTGTGCACAGATGGAAGGCTGACAGGCAGGTAGGCCATCCAGTTACTTTAGCCGGGCTGGCTCAGATGATTGGCCGTGCTTTTTACAGCGCCACGGCTTCCACAGATGAATTTGTTCTATGTATTTATTGTCAAAGCATTTCATATATTCATTGCTATCGGGACGTTAAGAGCATTCCATGGAATATAACAAAAAGTGTTTCTGAAATAAATGACCCCACCTTTAAGTTGCACTTTGAATGCAGGATGTTTACTTGTTTACTTCATTATTTCTACACTGAGGTATTATTTATTTTACCTAATTATAAGATCTGATTACTTCTTAAACCACTGCATATTTTCCCTGGGCTTAAAAACAAACTGAATTTCAAACTAAGAAGATGGATGGTTAGAGGTTTGAAAAAGAAACACTATTAAATAGATCTCAACCTCTGTTGCACTAATTTAGACCATTCTTCTTAAAACTGTCTCGTTCAAGTGCTAAATGTTATGAAAGTGCAGAACTAAATCTCTGCACAGGATTAGGTGCACAATCCCTTTAAGAAACATACCTCACACAGCATTTAGAAAGTTCAGACGGATAGTCTTTCGATTCATGCGAAAAAGTTTCAAACAACGAGACAATGCTATCCTTAAAATCCCACTGATGTCAATACAATTTAAACAGATAGATGCTGGGTTCATTGTGCAACCTGTTCATGCATGGTTGTGAGTATCCTGACATGTGGGTGTGTGCTTGTCAGTTTATCAACAGCAGCAATTTTTCACTCTTGATCAGCCAACCGTGGAGGCATTGTAAATGAACTACCTGGATTCAAACAGCATCAGATACAAGACAAAAGGTAACCTCTCAGTAAATCATTACACCTTCTTTGTCTCTGTCTCCCCCCTCCCTCTCTCTCTCTTTCTGTCACACACTCATCCAATCCTTCTCCTGCTTTCGAGAACTCTCAGTCTTGTCCAATCAGCTTCATCGTGACATACACATGAGCCATTCATAGAGCGGCGAGCACCATGTGGACAGCGGGCTGTGCCCAGAAATCATGCAATATGCTGTCACAGACAAAAACAAACACACACACACACTATATACTCACTCACGCAAGCCCATGCACACATGTAGGCTCATCGTGACCTCACGTCAAAGAAGACAAACAACGGCGTCGGAAAGCAGCCGCCTTTCCATGTGGCGAGCCGGCGTTTGGAACCCTGGCACCATATGGGCCCTCCATTGTTGACAAAACAGCCGAAGGGACATTAGCAGCAGCCATTTGCATATTATGGAAAACACTTTTCCAATTGTTTTTTCTTTTGCCGTTTCTCTAGCAAATAAAAGTGCCATCATCAATCTGTGTTGTGCGCCCGGAGGCGTGTTGGAGAGGATTTGTAAACTCATCCATTTCCTGTCATTTGGAAATGACACAGATAGCACTGAATGCAGCTGAAGGAAATCCCATGATGCTCTTACCTAGCTGCAGCTCCATGTTGGTAATCCTGTTTTCCGAGGGGAACAGGATCTTTGGCGGCTTGTCGGTCAAAGGAGCTGAAAAGGAGGAAAAAACAATTGAAATATAGTACGATACAAAACAATTGAACAATACATGCAGAATGTCGTGAAAGACGAAGGAAAGTATTTATTGCACTTGGCTCACATTATTTGTTCTTTGCATCCCCTTCTGCTTTACAGAGATTGTTAAGCATTTGAACACAGGGTACAGACAGAAGCTACCTCCTACTTTCTGCTCAAAATAAATAAATGCTCGTCCTTTTTCTATCATAATTCCTCAAGCATTCAAAAACTGTCTCTTTGCAGTCTATGCTCTCTAGTTTCGTAATACACCTAAGGTTCACTTCATCTGACCTACTTCCAATCATAAATGAATCAATGCTTTGCCAGGAACAAGCCATCATGTCATCTGCTTGAGTGTTAGATATCCGAAGAGCCATCATGGAGTCTGAGTGAGAGGGAGCAGCTGATGCTCTAATGATGCTAATCCTCCATACGGCGGATGTCAGATGTCTGCGGCTGAAGTCCTTCCTCTGGGGAACGGCAGAACATGAGGCAGCTTTATTGTTGTTAAAAGCGTTTGTGTGTTCTGCACTTCTTAGGGTTAAGGTCGAGGAGAACAGCGAGAGGGACTTGTACATGATTAAACAGTTACAAGAGAGGAGAGGAATGGAGGTGCAGTGTCTACATGTTAGACATCTTTGACACAAGGTACTTTATCTTCCACTCAGAAATACAAACATCCTTTGCATTTTTAATTTGTAAATGTTCTTTTTCCCCAGCAATGTGTTGGAGCATACTTGCACAGTCTCACATTTTCAAAGTTTGATACCGCTGGCTACTGAGCTGCTGGAAGTCTTGGGTCAATGTTCTATGAGGTCTTTCATATTTTGGCAATTACAATAAAAAGAGAGTTTAAAGCTATAGCTATGGTTACGGTAGTGTTTTATGTTTAAAAGGGTTTTAGAGGACATATTATGCATAAGTGTATTTGTGCCTCTACTGTGACATGCTTTAATGTTCAAAGAGGTGTTTATTTTCCTCATACTGCCTGTGCTGCAGCACCTCTTTTCACCCTCTGTCTGAAACCAGAGCACAATCTGCTCTGATTGGTCGACTCTGTTGTGATTGGTGAACCATTTAAAAATGTGATGTCACTATGTTACACATGAAGTCCATTGGAGGCGTTTCAGGAGGGGGGGGGGGGGGGGGGGGGTTTGGAGAGAAACTCTGGAGGGAACTTTTAGATTAGCCTTTGCAGACCATCAAAATGCACAAAAAACTATAAAACACACTACAGGAAAGTGGTATAATAACAGCGCTTTGTCGGCTCACCTTTACGTAAAAAGGGAAAAGAAATGCATGCACATATTCGTTATCTGCTTTTTTTAACACTGAGTTTGGTATATCCACTGATACATTTAAACCTGCTTCTTTTTCGTTGCTGTGGCGTTACATCATAAGGAAAAATTGGGGCATGTTAAGCTCATTATAACCTGAATTTCTCTGCTTGGCAAGCATGACATGTTTGATATAATTGCAGACCTTAACATTTATTTTTCTGTGCAAAAACTCATTTCTAATTATAATACAATGTTTAAAAAAGTTAACAGGTTTCATAAGGTACGGGGACTGGCAGGCACTAAGGATGCAAACACTTATTCTGCTTCTCCCAACAGCAGAGCTCTCAGGCACGTCTAATTATGTGGTGGTGAGTTTGCAAAGGCGGCATATTCAGGCCAGTTTGTAGCCTGGTGCTTTCATTAAGATGTTTCCTCAGAGCGTCCTCACAAGCCCCCTTCTTAAGCCTCATTATAAGAATACTCTAACAAGCGGGTTGAAAGCCCTGCTCTGTTTTGGTGTCTGTATTTGGGAGGAAAGTGCCATGCAATGTTGTTCGGGGAAGTGTGTGGTCGTGTCTGAAGGAAAGTTTGCGGTCGTGTAAAGTGCTTGGTTACAGGCTACGAGATAACATTTATTTTTGCTCCAAACTGTCAGAAGTAAGCGTTCACATGAGGAGAAGTGGACCAAAGAGTTTACTACTGTACGCAGAACCTGCTGGTATGTAAATACTGACGGAGACGCACAGTGATAGGGGCGGTCATGGGCTTTTAGGCACAACTGTTTGCACTGTTAATATGTAATCACACAGCACAAATTACACTGGATACTGATACCATTTTAATTACATATCAAACTGCTATACATAATTACACAATGGGTGATCCTATAGCCAATTATGCACTGGGCAAACAAATGAGGACAAGCTGTGTATGGGAGGCGTGAGGGGAAGCAGATGTGGTAAGAGAACACAGATAGGAGGAGGAAATCAGTGGAAGAAAAGTAGAGCTGCTGAAACAAAGAGAATGAAACAGGGAAATTGATAAAGCTAAAGTGAACCCATCAAGAAACATGCTCCCCCGCATGTTGGCACTTGCTTCCGAAAATCTCATTATCTTAATTACCTCTTCTTTATGGGAAATACATCAATTATCACGGTTCGGGGGGGGGGGACACCGTTTAAAATATGGAACATTTAGAGCACCACAGGAAACAAAGGAAAGAGTCTTCGATTGCCATTAGCAACAAAAAAAGAAAGAAATGAAGCCAATGTAGAAATAAACAGGTAATTAAACGCAAATACATCTGGTGAGCTGTTAAATCAAAGGCTGTCAAAGCATCATGAGAAAATATACCAATGTTTCATGTCTCCTTTCTTCTTAAGGATCTTCTCCGATTAAATATATTTACTATATATATTTTCAGGGTTAGAACAAGATTTCATTTCCATTTCTTTTGTTCATACAACATGCTGGTTGCATTTCATTAAAGTGTACTTTTGTATAGTGGTAAATGGAGTCCAATTGTATAGCTGTTCTTTCTTAATAACAAAATAAATATAATATTTACCAACCAAATTCCCTGATAACCATGAACACTAAACATTTTATGTTCACAGACATCAGGTGATTCAACGTAATATATTTGGTGTGTAATGACAGGGTTATTATTATTATTTCTAAAAGACAGTAAAGGACACTTTGACATGATGATAGGAGGAGGCAGAGATTTAACCCCCTCTACCTCTTGAGTCTACAATGTCAAACTTAGAGGACATAATAAGCACTAATGTTGCAGAAGAGGAGCAGAGGAGATTTCTATATAAATAAACATTTTAACCAAGTTTTTAACCAGGACTAGTTGTAATAGAACATACTTTATAATGTGGTAAATGGACTGCAGTTATACAGCAGTTTTCCGCTCATGTACGTACTACTTTACTTACTACTTAGTAATTATTATGTACTACAGTACATATACAGGTCAACATTCATACAGAGGCTCCCAAACAAGGACTGATGAACGTGCACACACGCACGCACACACACGCACGCACGCACGCACACAGACACACACACCATCGGGAGCAATTTGTGGTTCAGAATCTTGTCCAAGGACACTATAAACTCATCAGGGGCTAGGTATCGAACCGCCGACCCTAAGATTGGTTGCCGCAGCCGTCCACTTATATAACTTCAGTTATTTTAATCCTTTTAGGTTGCGTTTGATGTATGACTTGTGCCATACTGTATGAGTAAAGTTTGAGTCTATGATTGAAACTGCAGCTTTCCTTGTTAAATAATTAGTTAAAGTTGGCGAAACCGTAGTGAGTTCCTCCTCATTGATCGTGTCTGGGTATGACGGAGTGAATTACATGGTGGTCTGAGTCAATTAATGCAATGTGTGCGAGTATGTGTCTTTAGGGGACCATAATGACCTTGCCGGTGTGCTCGGCCAAACTTTATACTCTGGGATCGATGATTCACTATAAAACATTGATGTCTGATGATCATCATGGCAGCTTTTATTCTCTGCAAACCAGCCTGAACTAAGTAATCGAAGTATCTCTGTAAAGTCTTACAGCAGTATTGCTATAACTTTGGATGTATGCTATACATATGAAGTTGTTACACATGGAGTGGAATATAACCGAGCCTCAGCGTAAGTGTAAATGTGCGAAAGATGTAGCATGCAGTGCGATATTTGCAAAGTAATTGCAAGCATGGTTGGGTTTGCATTTTCAAAGCCTGAAATACTTCCCTGTGAGTAGGCTTTAAGTGCTATTGAGGAGAGACTATATACTAAATGTATGTGAAAATGTGTGTGTGGTGTACTCCTGGATACATTAACAGAGAGTGGGACTGTGTGTGGATGTAAGCTTTGTGATAAGTCATCCACAATCCCATTTCTGCTTGGTAGCAGAAAAGCTCACTGGACTTTCCTGATGGATTATTGCGGGTGACTGGCTGTAGGGAAACAGCAAATGAGTGAATTAAGGATGGAGCTGAGATATTTGGATCACTGTTTTTTTTGTTAGTCATTCAAATTGTGGGTGTGAGTGTTGGGGGATTTTGCAACAGAGAAGAATGCTGATGGCAAATTAGTGACAACGGTGAAAATAAGAACACATTGAATGTACAAATTGCTGGCACATATGGGTGAGCAGGTACTTACTGTATACAGGCATGCAAATAGACATGGACAAACTGGCATTCACACCAATTCATGGCTACACACACACACACACACACACACACACACCACACACACACACACACACATCACACACACACACACACACACACACACACACACACACACACACACACACACACACATCACACACACACACACACACACACACACACACACACACACACACACACACCACACACACACACACACACACACACACACACACACACACACACAGCACTGAAGTAGCTAACAGAGAACTGCATTGTCCTTTGGTCTCAGGAAATTGGCTCCCAAAGGGTTTTCAGTATTTCTACCAACAAAGGAAGTCAAGCTAGAGAAGAAAGGTTCAAATAAGAGGATGGAGACTTGGACAAACACAAAGTCCTTGTGAGTCTCCCAAGACTGCTAAGCTTGGGTAGAGAAGGTTCGGTTCTCCTCTACGGATGGCAGAATCCTATATTGTACTGCGGGAGATCACCATATATTAGCAGTGACCT